CAACACTGACGTGATGTCGGGCATTTGGTCAGTGAACAACTCTTCACAGTCATATAAGACCACAGCACTCTGGAATGTAATATACTGTTATCTTTGGACCTCTTTACTGTGAAACACGACTTGTTTTTAACACAGAAGTTACATTTTGTTGTTGTCAGAAACAGTTCTACGAAAGTATCTTGAATGCCCAGTCTTCACCAAACATCAAGTGAAATACTCTCTTGGGTGCTTGTGCCCATGCAAAGTTTTAAAAATAAAGAACTGAATCTATGCCTTGGGGTTTGGGATGGGTTCTTTTTTCTTTTTCTTCTACAAAAATATACAATTCATATACTTTTATACAAAAATACGGGTCTTTACATCTATGGTAAGGAGCCTTTCCACTGTGCCTTTTGCAACTGGACCTGTCTATCTCGCATTGGCCTCTTCAGCCACCAGTGCGCTTGTAGCAAATGTGGGTAGAGCCGTTCCCAAATCTTCATTCGTGAAGCCTAGCCATGATGATGATGATATTAATAATATGGTATATTCCAGAGCTGTGTGTACAGCTCATTTCATTGATGCACAAATATCTCTGAGCTCTCAAGTGGAAGCTGGGGGTAAACCTATAAGTAGCTGGATTATAAGATGAACACCTACCCTTTTGAAACCTGTGCCATAGTTCTAATACCAGTTGAAAGGTGAGGTTGAAATGTTTCTATGATATCATAAATCTCCTTAGGCTTCAAGACTTTCCAGGGGTACACAGCGCTGCAGTATCTCATTGTATAGCACTTAGAGCTGTTACGTCTTTTATGTGAATCACCATATGGGTCCTTGAAAAATTAATTTTAAAATGTTTGATTTTAATTTAGAAGTTCTTTCAAGGTAGTACAGCCCCAGCAATCACTACTGGGCCCTTTGGGAAACAAGAGAAAAGGAAAAAAATAAAAGAACATTTTTGGAATAACTTTGTTTTGCCCAACTCAGTGTCAGTCGGCAGAGGCAATAACGAAGGGGCTGCAGGACTGCTCTCAGCTATTATTGTGCCTGGCTCGCTCTCAGCATGACTCACTGCAGACAATATATCACACCACTCACAAGGGGAATGAACAGTAAATACTTGGCCCTGGATAGTTTTTTTCCAGAATCTCTTCAGTTGTTTTTTTTTTTTTTCTCTCTGATTTGTATCCCTTTATCCTTGCCTATGTGCTATATAAGCTTCTCAAATCTAATGTCCATAACACCACCCCCCACTGGTAGCAGCAAGCCCTTCCGCTGCTGTAGGGTTTACTTTGCAGAGGTTTACAAGGAGAGGCATTATTGAGAAACTGTATGTGTTAACCCAGTGGCACAGGGTTGCTTCAATGCCTTCCCTCTGGTTTTTCTTTTCTCGGGGGAGGGGTGGCTGCTATTCTAGTTAAGTGAATCTCTTGCTTTGCTGTAGCAGTCAGGCTAGTTTAGGAAGAAAACCTTGGGGCTAAACAGGCTAGGAGTGCAGCCAAGGGGGTCAGGAGACGGCTTTAAGGATTATACTACATAATTAAAAGCTCACTCTGAACATGCTTCCTGGTACCCAGTGCTCAAACACACAAACCTTTTTAGGTAATAATTCTTGGTCCTCATTTGTATCTGAGGGATTTGTAGGTTAAAGTTGCCATACAGGTAGTGAGTCAGGAATACCAATTATTCATCTAGACTAAAAAAAGACAACACCTTCCTAAACCTGCCCTAGCCAGTGAGAACTGGGTGTAAAACATAAATAGATGAATGTGCATGTGTGAATGTGCATGTGGTTTGTTTTTGTGCAATGCCCTCTGGGTGCATCTGATCTCATTCTGCAGCATCTTTCTGGATTAAAAAGTGGGGATTCTTCTCCTAAAGTGCTCTGCGATCAGAACTGGGTCAGAACATTATTCTACCAGATAAAACCTGGGCACAAGACTCACATTTGAGCTTATACTGTGCTATCCCCAAAGAGGACCATTTTTTTTTCAAATACTTCTAATCAGCTGGAGCCAAGACTAGAATTTAGGTCTTCCATTATCCATACTGTAGGCTAGTGGATGCCCCATCAGGTTACACAGAGTGCAAGCACTTGCTCTACAGTGATCCCCATCCCAGACCAAAATGATGTTAAGACCAACAGACTCCTATAGACTCCTGTGTTTGCTAAAACAGCATATTCTGATATTTCGGTCAGATATTTTAACCAAGTCTGTGCAAGCTGCATTAATTTAGCTTTCATTGTCTAAAATTAGGTCCTAGCAAGATGTAGGTACCAAAAAAACTAGAAGCATTGGAAAGGAGGAGGAAATATTGAAGACACATATTGATTATATTGTGTGAATAATCACTTGCTTATCTCATGCTATAATGCACAAATAAACAGTCTACAAATCCAGGCAGCACATGGTCACTAATCAAAATAAATAACCCGGTGTGAACAGGGATAAATCACACTTCCAACATCAAAGTTGTGGAAAATGCATATTGTATGTTTTGCCTGATTTTCCACCAGAATTATCACTTTTCTATTTCAAGAGAAGCTGCAATAAGCCAGAGTTCATCCTCTGTACAATGATATATTTAATTCAGACTTGTTGGGCTTTTTTTTCAGAATACTGGCCTTTCTACTATTTCAGTTAAATCCCAGTGTACTGTAAATAGGTTGTCACATATATATATCCCTTGTCACAGCTGGATAAACACATCGTGCGGTGGGTGAGCAACTGGCTCACAGGTTGAGTACAGATGGTAATAGTGAATGGAGTAACGTCAGATTGGTGACCTGTCACTAGTGAGGCTCCATCTTGGGCACTGTGCTCTTCAACATCTTCATAAATGACTTGGTCCCAGTACTGGAAGGGATACTAAGCAAGTTTGCAGATGACACAAAACTCAGAAGAGCTGTTGACTCCCTCAAAGGCAGGGAGGCCCTGCAGAGAGACCTCAACAAATTAGAGGACTGGGCAATCACCAACCATAGGAAGTTCAACAAGGGGAAGTGCTGGATTCTGCACCTGGGATGGGCCAACCCTGGATGTACATACAGACTGGGGAATGAGATGCTGGAAAGCAGTACTGTGGAAAGGGACCTGGGGGTCCAGGTTGACAACAAGTTAAATGAGTCAGCAGTGCCCTGGCAGCCAGGAGGGCCAACCGTGTCCTGGGGGGCATCAGGCAAAGCATTACCAACCAGTCGAGGGAGGGATTGTCCCACTCTGCTCTGCACTGGTGCGGCCTCTCCTTGAATATTGTGGCAGTTTTGGGCACCATAAGATAAGAAAGATATTAAGTTGCTACAGGGTGTCCAAAGGAGGGCAATGAAGATGGTGAAGGGATTTGAGGGGAAGCCATATGAGGAGTGGCTGAGGGCACTTGGTCTGTTGAGCCTGGAGAAGGGGAGACTTCATTGCAGTTACAGCTTCCTCATGAGGGGAAGAGGAAGGGCAGGCACTGATCTCTTCTCTATGGTGACCAGTGACAGAACCGAAGGGAATGGCCTTAAGCTGTGTAAGGAGAGGTTTAGGTTGGATATTAGAAAAAGGTTCTTAACCCAGAGGGTGGCTGGGCACTGGAACAGGCTTCCCATGGAAGTGGTCACAACACCAAGCCTGACAGAGTTCAAGAAGCATTTGGAGGATACAAGAAGCATTTGGATGATACTCTCAGACACATGGTGTGACTCTTGGGGATGGATGGTCCTGCGCAGGGCTAAGGGTTGGACTTGATGGTCCTTGTGGGTCCCTTCCAACTCGGCATATTCTGTGATACTGTGATATCAAAAAATGGAAAGAGACACCAAATGATTAACTTACTATTACAGACCGAAATATGAAGAACCTTGCCCAGTGTAGTTAGCACTGGCTTCTAGTTTTGATGAAGCTCATGTTTGACTGAATCAGTGCCTAATCTTTTCAACTCATTAGTGTCTAGTGCCTGCCTGCTTCCAAGTACTTTTCATTCCTTAAAAATCTCATGTTTACAACCATTTTCTTGTTCAGTTTTTGGAGAACAAAAGGGAAAAGAAAGGCTTTATTCCCTGGGTTAAGTCTAGATCACATATACAAAGGAAAAGAGAGATTCTGCTACACTTTATTCAATATGATGTTACAAGAAAACAACAGTTACAGCTGACAAACCATTACATCTTTCATAATACAGACAAATTACAAGGTGTAACAAATAATGCGACATTTATTTTACTGTACTGCTTACTATGCTGTTCTTCTGAAGTATATATATATTTAATAACATTAACATTGTTTTCATGTACCAGCCTTCCCCTTTTTTGTTTGTTAAAAAAAGAACACCTCTCGGTGCACCACATAAAAATCCACGTGGAAGCTGGCAAGCAGGGATTTTGTATGCAGCACCATTGAAATGCATTTTGGGGGATGGGAATTATTAGTGCATCCTTTACTTTCAGATTTTTTGCTTATGTGAAAAATGCAAGGCAGTAACATACAGTCACTCCACCTAAATGCTGGTAGGGAAGAGTATCGTTATGCTCAGTAATGCAGCCTAATTCTGTTTATATGAGGTGTCTGCATTTTGCTCCCCAGTCTGTACAGCCTAAACCTTTTATATAACAAAGATTACAGACCCAATAATATTCACAGGTGATTATTTTGTATATGAGCATATCAGAACATTGACTACACATTTGGTTGCGTGCACTGACAGGGTGCACTGAGGGGTGTCCTTCACCCACCAGCCCACAGGGTATTTATTATCTTATCTCCCTCCAGGAGTCTGAAGTGCAGAACCCCTGTGCATTAAAGAGAAAGCAAAACCCCCTGTGCCTCTATCTACTGCAGGTTGAATTTTCACTGTTGTACTGATGACTTGTCCTAAGTCATGGTTCTGATTAAAAAAAATAGTGGAAATTAAAAGGACCCAACCAATCCAGGACACCGTACAGTAATGTAATATAGGAAGTATTGGAGTGTCCTGTCTGGTGTGGTGCCTGCTGGGTGTGGATTAGAGCTGATCTGAACCCAGCAGGAGTTCAGCAGGAGAGAGGACTAAGCCATCTCCAGCTGGTTGACTAGTAAAGTCAGATTCGGTGAACTTGAAACTTGTAAGGACTCTCTGTATCATGCAGGCCATCTCTATCACCATCTTCCCTTCCCCGTTCACTTAATATTAGATCCCACAGAGAGTTAAAACACTTTTATCTGCCTGCTATATCTGTTGCCCTGTAGCTGCTCTCCCGTCTTGCAGCAAAGCCACATCCTCTCAAGTATCACCAGGAAGGATCTACTGGGGCTCAGTCAAGTGGTAGGAAAACGCAAGTTATGCTGCTGCTGGCTACTGACACCAAGCAAGTTGCACAGTTTCTCAAGGACTGTGCCCCAGAGACTACTGGTCACTGAAGCCAATTTTTGACTGTTGACAACATGAAACTTCGCGTTCCAGGTACCCACAGCACATCTGGAAGGCTGGGCTTCTTGTCCCTTTGAAGATTCTGTGGGGAACTGATTTGGGAAGGATGAGAGAAAAGGATCTACTACTGATCTTTGCTGAAGCTGTCTCAAGACCACTGATGGGGTTTAAACAGTCCACTCTGCAACACTGAGAAGAGCTGTGCTGAAAACAGCTGGAGGAGTGGGCAGCTGTCAGGGGGGCCTAACTGATGGATGTCAGTCAGGCTAATCATGCAGGTAAGGGCTCTGCTGGAAAGGGGAAGAGGGAAATAAGGCCGTACTGCTAACTGTCAGTTCCCTGGCCAAAGGAGCTTCTGCTTTCTAAAAAACCCTTGATATTTCCCATCAGATTTGATGTTTCAGAAGATTAATTTGCAGTGCTCATGTGAACAGCACCAGTGTGCTGTCCCCTTGGTGCTGGGAGAACATCCCCAGGGCCCAGAGCCTCCACGGGAGAGCAGCAAATCCAAGTCACCACAAACCCAAGGCAATCAGGGGGCCTGGAAAGTAGATGCATAAGTAAGAGATCCTGGTCACTTCTTAATGATCAGTAGCTGAGATAACCTCACTACTGCTGAAGAATAAGTTACTACTTAGAAGCCTAGATATTTATGAACTTTCCTTCAGGCAATTGAGTTCAAAGATTTTTGGACCAACTTTATTTCAGTGGTTGCTTAAAAGTGGGAATGGGGCAGAGAAGATAATCTCACTTGCATGTGTGTGTACACACACACACACACACACACATACATACCTTAAGCAAATACTGTATGTGAGTCACTATGGATAGTAATGTGCTAGGCTTGTGGGAACAGCTGGGGAATTACTTTCTATATTAAACCTTCAGATGGTTAGCTGAGCAGCATAATTGCTTGCCTCTCAATTTAAGCTGCCAAGTAGAAACATCTATGGAACTACCCTTATATTCCTAATCAAAATCTTTGTTACATTTTCAAAAATTCTTCAGATTTTTGCAGCAAGTTTTTTTTTAAAAATAGCTAATTTTAATCATCAAACTGCACACGATTTAAGTAGCAAAGATAATGTATAAAAGACTTTTCTCTTACAAAAAAAAGAAATATGAAACCCAAACAAACAACATCTAAGGCAGTTTCAGTGTGTGATAAATTCAAAGTTCAGTGGTCACTTTTCCCCTTATAAACACAGGGGGAAAACTGTAGTAAGTTCTAAATAGGATTGTGACTGAAAGTGGCTTTCAGATGGCTTTTTGCAGATCCTGAAACAGAGATGTCATTGGGGAAAATTGTCTTTTAATGGCTGTACAAATATTGAGAATATTTCCACAGTTCAGCTCTTTGAAAGTGTAGACTCCTGTCCTAGTTCATTACGGGACCTTTTGTAGCTACTTGTGCATTCAAGGATTTGCCTTATTGGGTGATTTTTTCTTATTAAACACTGCTGGAGTTTAATAAGATGGCAGTAGCACAAATCCTTTTCCCCTCCTTTTAAACACTGAAAACTAACCAAAGTGTTACCACACTTCTTAAAAATGTAATTCAATGCATCCAGCAAGCAAAGGATGTCAAATTTATGTGTAGAATAATATTGCCTAGCAAGCGTTTCTGTCCGAGCAGGACTATAACTCAACAGTGATTTTTGCACCATACCCTGCCCTTTCTGAATGCAAAGCATTGTATACAGTCAGGGCAGTTTTTTCACACCCCTGAACACAATGTTCTCCCCAACCATAATGTATCGGGGCTTCCTTTTCTAAAATCACACAACTTAATTTCTTGCAAAGTTTGCATTTGAATGATTCATTCAGAAAAGCTATCTAAAGACCAAGGATCACGTAGTGCCTTCCAATCAGCTCAGAATACATACTGAAAATAACTTGAAAGGTGCTTTGGTGTGGAACAGCAAACAATTTGGGATGAGGAAAATTCTTCACCTTCATGCTTTGTACATGGCAAAGTAAAACAGCTAGATTTAATGGCTCATTCAATGGAAGTTTTTCTGTACCTTAGTATCTGCCTTGAATTAAACAGAACAGTTTCAGCATCTCTGTTTTCAAGAAAACGTTCCAAACCAGGTAACTACTGTGAGAAAAAACAGAGATGTTAACCAAGACCCATAAAAGAAATATATATTCTTGAAGGAAATAAAATCATAAAGAATTCACTGTATATTCACTGAATGTCAGCTGCATACATCTCATCATTTTTGCTTTGTCCTTCTCACAGGCCTATTTTGAAAACTGGCATGCTACATAGCCTAAGCAGAGTAACCAAATTCAGAGTACTGAAGTAAACATGCAATTATTGCCATGTTTTTAAAATGGATATGAATGGTCTGAGGGGATAATGAAAAAGAAATAACCCAACAACACTTCAGGAAGAGTGGCAAGGTGTTATAACTGTCAGCTGATCAGACAAGTTGGGCTTGCCCTGGAAGAAATAGTCTTCCCACTGGTTGCAAAATATGCATAACTCTCAAAGAAAACACACAGTTCTTTATGCCACCATTGCCTCTTTTAGTACAGCTGTTACTAAAGAAGTGTGAACGCCAAATGTGTTGTCTGAAAGTATTTAAGACATTGCTGGTGCTTACAAAGATGCAGCGCTGCAGTGGAAAATCAAACAAAATCAAACACAAAAGACTGAAAGAGTACATGCCATGTATCAGTAAGCAAAAGCTTAATCTGCACATAGTTCTCTGAAATCACAAGGTATCCAAATGCGTGCAAGGTTTTAAATAAATTGCAGGGAAAAACAGGGTCTTGCCAGCTTCAATTTTCTTTTGAATGAAATCCACCATAGAGAAAGAAAGGAAACAGGCCGTGGTTCCTTCCTGGTGTCGGCCTCCTCATTAGGTTTTTGTTTCCCTCCTCCAACCTGGTAAATTTAATCCTGTAAGGAAACAATATAAATTATAATAAGCCTTATGAATTGCATTTTTAAATGTTTTTTTAACTTGGTAAAAGATAGGTTAGTCCAAAGCTAGTTATGAAGACACCAGCTCAGAGTGAAGGACAGACTTACAAAGCACGTTTAGAGCTGGTATGTCAGGAAAATGAACTTAAAACACCAATGTTTTTGGGGTGGTCGCCCAAGTGAGATATATTAATCCATATTAATGTATCTCTGCCCCAAGTGCTAGTCTTCAGAGGTGCCATTAGCACTCACATTCTCCATGGAAATTATAGACAGCCATAAACAGACAGCTCTTCTAAAAGTGGTTACATCCCCTGAACGCAAAGGAAGGTTGCTAAATGCTGGGACAGCTTCAGGAGTTTACAAGGTGTTTTTGGCCCCTTCCTCATGGAGTCCCTAGTGATCACCTCCACAGCAATGCATGCAACTAGTTTATCAAAAGGTCTCCTCAGGTCTCCTTCCCAAGAGTTGTTTGAGGTACCCTGGGGCACATCACAAACATTTCTGCAAACACAACCAGGTTATGGAGCTCCTTGGTGTGCTGCATTTAAATGTCTTCCTCTTTAGTTCAGTGTATTTCTATTAACAGGTAGATGACTAAATTCTCTCCTTTCAAATAAAAAAATAAACACTATATCCATAGCATCACTTATGTCATCTTTCACTCTGCTGATGTATAAGCTCAAAGCAGATATCATGATGCTTTTGAGGTTTACACAAAACAGGAGACAGACTGAGAATGTGGGATGCGTTACTGTAAAACAAAGCATCCAACAACTGCAAGAAGAGTCAAGTAAAGGCTAAATGAAGGCTAGGTGAACTGAAGCCACGAAAAGGATTTTATAATTAACATATTTAATTAATAAATGTCCAAGTAAAATTCTATGCCAAGTAATAAAGTGAGAAATTTCTGAGAAATTCTGAAAATATATTTGTTAGGTTCTTCAAGACCAAGGATTGTAACTATGGACCTGATACATTTTTAAAATGTAGTTGCAGGAAGACAGTCAGATGTGAAGGAATTTCATCACTTAAGAAAAAGAATGCTGAAATATTCATTGAGCATAGAACTGGTTTGTATTAGCATGTCCTAAAACTATTTAAATCAAACGGGGTGCAGGTGCCAGTGAATCTAGTCTAGCCCTCATTTCAAAAGCAGGAGAAAAGCAAGGCATCGTTTTTGAACTGCAGTTTCAAGCATAACATTTTAATTGTGTCTTTCAACAAAACAGCCCAATCTCTTAACTTTCGTAATTTCCAGGGTTCCTATCATGATTCTTGAGAGCTCTTCTTCTTTTCTTTAAGCACCAGGATACTTGGATTGGATTAACAAAAGTCTTGGGCCCTCTTGGAGCTTGGTCTACTAACTCTAGAGTCCTTCCTGGGTTACTTCCTAAATGGTTCTGGAGTTTGTGTGGACTGTCTATTCCACATGGAAGACCTACTTTCCCCAGGGTCTAGAGCTTGGCTGAAATGCCAGTAGATCTTGTTTCAAGGAATATATTTGAGCTGATGCATTTAGTTTACTCTTCATAAACTTAAAAAAAAAAGCAGTATTTGGAACATGCAGAGATTCACAACTGCTCAGTGGTAAAACACCAATGACAGTATTCCCCAAACTCCACATTTCCTTTCCTTCAAAAACACTTTGTAGGGATGTCCTTTTTGGACCCCCTCCTTACAAAGAAGCAACTAAACTCTCAAAGCTCCTTCAAAAGTTGAGCTTGCATTGCCCCTACTGCCACCCACACTACAGCTGTGAAAGGCAGTCTTGCAGTTTGGAAACCACATCTGCCCAGAGTCAGAATAGCTGGCCTGATTTCAGGCTAAGCTCAAATTGCTGGAGTTCTAGAGATTGGCATAAGCAGCAGTGACATCTAAGACAGGTAACAAAATTAAAAGCATAGAAGAGCCTTTGGATGGAGGCTTTTCTGGTAATTATCAAACTACCAGAAAATGTTCAGATTTGAGAATAACTGCAATGACATTACTTACACAGAACTTTTCCTTTCTATCAGTGGGCCTCAGGACAATTTCTAAAAGAGGTAAGCATCACACTTCTCTTAGGGGTATGCTACCATTTCCCAGTAACCATACTACATTTTCTGTTTTCAAGTTTGGCTCTGTAGGCAAAGCTACATTCTCCAGGGCAGGGCCTGAGCTTGTGAAATGGGGAATACCTTCATCAGCACTTCCAGAATCAAGCCCTAGAACATTAAGAGTTTCCTTAGGAATGAACAAACTGAGAGCTGCTACATGTAACAAAGGGAAAAAAAAATCTTTGCACTCTGGCAACCACCACCAGCACAAACACAGAACAAGGGCAGAACACTGAAGACTAAGAAAGGGTAGCAGAAGTTACAGGTTTCCTGCTCTGGCTCAGTATAAGGCAGCTGACAGTTTTATCATCAGAACTCCACCAGCTCCAGCAGGGTCCTGCTGTGCCAAGCTTGCAACTGCGGTAACTGCTTTCCTGTGAAAGCTGAGAGCCTGCGTAACAGTACGGTGGGCAACGCCACCTCCCACTTTCTGCACGGGCTCAAGATTTAGATTAGATCAAACAGTAAAATCACCAGAAAAGAGCAAGACTTGATGCCACATTTCACCAATGGTTCTGGCTGGAGAAAGCTAGAAGACAGTGCAACTGGAAGCAGGGAACAGTATGGTGGTCACAGTCTCTCTGAAGATGTGTTGAAATGCCCAGTTTGGGAAGCTGGCCTGCATGACAGGAGCTGGCCCACTGCTCGCACCAGTGCCATAATGGCCCGAGTGTTCTGAGGCTGAACCCTCAGCTTTGGCTGCTTATGCATTTCCACCATGTATAAAATGTCCTTACATGACACAACAAGCATTGTGGTCAGGAATAGATAATGTTTGCATCTGAATCCCTAATTCTCTGAATGTTTATTGTTGATTCAAAGTAGTGTCAACAGGTGAAATCCCTTCCCTTGGCATCAGAGTGCCCTCGTGGAGTGCCAGCCTTCTCCTGTCCTGAGGAAGAGGAAGAAACTGAACACGGATGTCAGAGGAGTGCTGTAAGCACTGTGCTCCTTAACTTTTGTTTTTGTTGAAGATGGGACTCACATGAAATAGGCACCTCTCCTAAACTGGAGAAAGAGGAGAGTGTCTTTTTATCCACAGCAGAAAATACACAATAAAACAAACAGAAAATTTTAGACTGATGTGAACCAGTCTTTTTATTAAAAAAGCATTTTTTCTTCAGTGGGGCTCTTGAACTGAAACATTAGTTGTTCACACAACCAAGACCTGAGGCAGGGCCCTCCACAAAGTGTTGCCATTCAGTTTCCAGATGGCTGTAGTGGGCTGACCTTGGCTGGATGACAGGTGCCCACTAAACTGTTTTATCACTCCCCTTCCCAGCAGGACAGGGAAGAAAGAATAAGATGAAAAATGACTCATAGGTTGAGATAAGGTAGTTTACTAAAGCAAAAGTGAAAGTTTGCATGCGTGCAAGCAGGAAGGAAAATAGTAAGGTTTATTCTCTACTTCCCATTAGCAAGTGGTGTCCGGCCATCAGTTTACAGTGCTGATGCTGTGCTCAGCAATAGCCAAAACACTGGTGTGTTACCAACACCTTTCAAGCTACCAAGCAAAGCACAGCACTGTGAGGGTTGCTATGAGGAAATGGAACTTCATCTCAGCCAGACTCAATACAGTGGCTCAGTAATTCCATGTTTGCATTTTTAAAGATATATTTTAGAAATATCCTTGCTTAGAATTTAATACATTTCCCTGATCATACAAATCAAAGTTTCGCCTGGTGACTTGGCAGATTGTGCTTATGGCCTCTGGTCACAGCTTTGCTTATAAAAGCATAAATTGTTAAATGGAGTATTTACAACTTGTGATTTCCCAGGAGCAAAATAGGGTTCTTTCATATTTCCTTAAAAAGCAAAGCAAAGCAAAATCAACCCCCCCAAACAAACAAACAACAAACCCTGAAACATAACAGACTGCCTTAAAAATGAACTTGTGTTTTTCACCACAGATTCAGGTACTTCTGGTTTTCATGACATTTCTATTAAACCTCATAGTTTTCTTCAAGCAAGTTAATTATGTACTTGAAATACTAAGTGACCTACATGAAGTAACTAATTTCTGTGTTTGTTGTCTAGAGAAATCATCTGCTCATACATTCTGTTTGTCCCAGACAATAATGGGATAAAGAGTAATCCACCTTAAAAATGGCAGTTGCCAACTTCAGAATACAGTAACTGGTGATGTAACAGTGGTTCTAGAAAGGGATACCAAAGCTTTTAATTTAAACACTACTCATACTCTCAAGACATGAGGTAGAGGAGGGTGACTAAATCCCAAATATTTTTCTTTATTTTAATTATTGAAAGAACATAATTTCCTGTAAAAATGCCAGTTCAGTACACGTTCTTTTTGGCAGCATCATCGTCCTTCTCTAGATACTTTTAATTTCTGTATAAATTATCACATAAGGTGGAGTTATGCTCCCGCAGAGTCCTTAGCATGCAAAGCACACTCAGAGTGCAGGTCTATTTACATGGCAGCTGATTTAGCATTATTGTAAGAGTATTCCAGATTTAAAGTAAAAATGTGAGCTGACAACTGGAGATACTGTATTCTCTATGAGCTGAAACATGGGGGTGTTTAAGTTCATCAACAATAATGCTCTTTCTGCTTCTCCCTCCACCATGTGTCCACACCACAGATGCTGTTCATCCCCTTTGAAAAAAAACTACACAATTAACAGGTGATTTTTCTTGCACCTTTTATTCCTAGCTTTGTTAGAGAAGTCATTTTAAAAAGCCAATCAGACATTATCAATACTGTTTGCACCCAGACAGTACCTACATGCAACTTGTTGCTATAAATATTAATTAATTGGATCACCAATACCCATAATGCAACTTTATTTTGACCTACATGCCCTATGAACTAGATATTTTTTGGATTCAATTTCCTTAAAACCAACTGTCAGCATC